CGAGGAAAAGTACTTTTTCCTCGTAAGCTCCTCCTAAATTTACTAAGGTCTTACGAGGAAATTGTTTCCTCGTAAGTTTTCGAGGAGCTTACGAGGAAATTTGCTTTCCTCGTAAGATCCTAGTAAAGGCTTAGTAAATTTACGAGGAAGAATTTTCCTAGTAAAATTTCCTAGTAAATGCTTTGTTTTCTTGTAGTGTCAGACTCATATAGTTACAGAATGTTTTTTTTAAATGCAAGTTTTGAAAATTAAAATTACGAATTTTTAGATAATGTTATTATATTTTGAATTTTATTGATTTTTATGTTTAATGATAAAACCTCTAAACTGAAGATTTACCGGTAGTACAGGTAATTATGACCGGCGAGGGTTTAATTCATTAAATAAAGTTAGTTTGGGGGTTTTTTCATTAAATACTTAGTTTAGGGGTTTTTATCCATAACAAACTTAGTTGGGAGGTTTTTATGTTAAAAATCCTTATCCAAATTCATTCAAAATTTTACACTAGTACTTACCGGGAACTCGACGGGCTAAAGCGGCAAGGAGAGGAGACGGTGTCGTTTCATCTGATTCGAAGCGTAAGAGAACGTGAGGAGGGAGAGAGATAAGGTCTGTGCCTTGAGGGAGTCGCTCGGTGGAGATGAGACCGAAGCCAAATGGAGTATCCTGAGATAGCTTGACGGCGTGATGAACGAAGCCGCCTTCTCTCTTGATCCAACGAACAGGTCCGGCGGATGAGGAGCCAAACGGCGTGGTTGTGGTTGAGACGCGGCTAAGCGACGAATGTAAGATGATGCCAGAGAAGTTATGTCTTTCAAAAAGGCCATTGGGAGAGATGAAGAAAGTGTTAATCAATGTAGGTGGAGATGACATATACTTGTAGAAACAAAACAAATTGGCTTACAAAAGAAGCCACAGATTTAATTGGCTTCATAGAAAATCTAAAAACCATCTATAACTAGACTAGTCTGCTTTTTATTGCGTCTGCTGTTAATGTTGGCGCGCTTTTCTTCCTTTTTCTATTTTTTGTCATGACTTGTTAGGGCCTCTCCAATCGGACGGTAAAACAGCAAATATGCCGTCCAATATTCTCCAATATAACGCCAAAACAAACGGCAAAATTAAAGTTTTGGTGTTTTGTGAACAGTGTTACACCAAATATGGTGTAACACTGTTCACAAAACACCAAAACTTAAAATACTTTTTTATTCATGTATTTAGATTAAAAATATATATTTAAATGATTATCTATCAGTTCACTATATTTTAAACATGTTTAATAAATAAATTACTTAAGAATATAAATAAATACCATCAACTAAAATAATAAAAGATTAAAAACATAAAATTACATAATTAAAATTAAACACACATAAAATTACATAATTAAAATTAAAAACACATAAAATTACATAATTAAAATTAAACACACATAAAATTACCAATTAAAATCAAACACACAAAAATTACTTAATTAAAAAATACACATAAAACACACAAAATATAAATTTTAATAATAATCTAATAAATTCCTGGAAATCCATTTCCGCCTCCGCTAAGCAAATTATAGTACTGGGAAAAATCTTGTTGCTTACTTGGTGATTTTGGATCTTCATCTTGAGGATGTTGTCCTTGAACTTGACTTCCTTGAGCTTGATCCCCATGAGCTTGGTCTCCTTGAGCTTGATATGTTCGATATTGAGATCCATGATATTGGCTTTGAGAACCTTCTCTGTGTTCTTCATATTGGGTTGTTGGTGCTCCTCTACTTAGAATCATCGCTCTTTCATTTTCAATATACGCACGTCTTGCCGGATCAGTTATAGAACTCAAATCCGCGAGTAACATTTTACGCTCATGTTTCTTTCTTTGTAACTATTTTCTGTCTTTTAATTTTGTTTCTTTCAGAAGTACCTTTAACCATAGCTTTTAGAAGCTTATCATTTTGCTCCATCATTTGTTTAAATTGTTCATCAGACTGTTGCTTTTTCTTTGCTTTTTTCACACCCATTGGTCTCTTTGATAAATTACCACTGGATTCTTCACTATTTAAATTTAGATCGTAGGAATTCATACCAAGGGATGGCAATGACTCATCTTGGATTGATGAAGACGATTTGGCATTACGACTTTCTTCTGAGAATGCAATGGCTCTGTTGCTGTGGTTATTTGAAAAAATTTCAATACCTTTAAGGATTGGCCAGACGTGATCAAATTTGAACCCTTTCTTGTATTTGACATCTTGTGTCAATACATCTTCGCTTGGTTTAACTGATTTTATATTAAGAAAGAGACAAATGTAAATAAGTTAGCAAACATAAAAAATAATAAAGTAGGAGAAAATACAAACAATATCTATTTATACACACTTACAATGTCTTGTTCGGAAGCACCGTTGGGATTTTTTATTTTCAATTTGGTTAACACATCCTCTCAGCTTGGAGACTGCAGAAAGAATTGTCGTCATTCGGGTTTGAAAAGATCTTCTTGGTCTTGGTTGGGCAAGAGAAATCTCATATTTTTCATATTCAGTTTGAACTCTTGTCCAAAACTGATCGCCTGATTGGTTTATCCCTATGATTGGATTTTGAGAAACATCAAGATACACATGACATAAGTGTTTATTTTCTTCAATAGAATATGATTGAGAGCGAATTGAGGCCATTTTAAAAGGAATATTAATGGTAAGAAAATAAATACAAGATGGTGTGATCATTCAACGAGAAGTATACATTTTATAGACAAGTGAAGGCAAAAGCAATTGTTACATCTTGGCCACAAAAATTCAGAGATATTTTGGTATTTTATGAGATAATTATAATTGATGTAAAGATGATGAGACTTGTGCATGCAATGGCTAGATCTTGGTCAACAAAATTCAATGGGTAGGATCAATTTGTTTTTTTTTCTGAGATAGTGGTAAGGGACATAAAGATGATGCTACTAATCAAAGCAATGGTTGGATTTTGGTCGAAAAAATTCAATGGGTAAGATCAATTTGTATTTTTCTTAGATAGTGGTCATTGATAAAGATGATGAAACTGATCAATGTAATGGTTAGATTTTGGTCAACAAAATTCAACAGGCAAGATCAGTTTGTATTTTTCTAGATAGTGGTCATTAGGATAAAGAAGATGAGACTGATCAATGCAACAGTTAGATCTTGGTCGACAAAATTTAACGGGTAAGATTGAATTACTTACACTATAAAGAGGGTACCATATATGGAATATAAGATGAATACCACCATTCTATTAATTCTTACAAAAAAATGAATTTCAACTATGGAAGTTCATCTTATATACCACCTTCTTCTTCTTCTTTGTCTTCTTCTTCAGATGATGATTATTACGAAGATATAGAAAAGCAAGTAGTAGCTCAAATTACTGCTAACAACAATTTTCTCATCACTCATAACCTATCTAACTCGGAGGATTCCCACGGTGGATCTATTCCGGGTCATGCAGTTATCAACCGTGAGCGAGAAAATTCTTCTCGCAGTCTCTTCAGTGATTATTTTTTAGATAATCCTTTGTTCTCGGAGACGATGTTCCGACGAAGATTTCGGATGAGCCGTCCTTTGTTTATGCATATTCATGATGCTATATAAAGACATGACAATTACTTTGTCCAGCAAAGAGATGGTGTTGGTAGACTTGGGTTGTCTGGTTTGCAAAAAATAACTGTTGTATTTCGGATGTTGGCGTATGGGTTGCCGGCAGATTCCACCGATGAGTACATCAAAATAGGAGAGTCCACTACTATAGAAAGTATGAAGCGATTTTGTCGTGTTGTTGTCGAGGTGTTTGGAAGTCGTTACCTTCGATCACCTGACGCTAATGATGTTGAACGGCTACTTCAGATTGGAGAACGCCGAGGATTTCCAGGTATATTGGGTAGTTTAGATTGTATGCATTGTAAATGGAAAAAAACTGCCCAACAGCTTGGGGAGGACAATATGCTGGTCGCAGTGGATCTCCTACTATTATTCTGGAAGCTGTAGCTGATTATGATCTTTGGATTTGGCATGCATATTTTGGTCTACCAGGATCTAACAATGATATTAATGTGCTAGAGGCGTCTCATCTTTTTGCTAATTTAGCTGAAGGAACTGCTCCACCCGCTAATTACGTTATTAATGGGAAAAGTTATAATACGGGTTATTATTTAGCTGATGGTATATATCCAAAATGGTCCACTCTTGTTCAAACAATTCACGATCCACGTGGTCCCAAAAAACAATTATTTGCAAAGAAGTAAGAAGCTTGTAGAAAAGATGTGGAACGTGAATTTGGAGTATTACAGTCACAATTTGCAATTGTGGCTGGACCAGCACGCTTTTGGAGTAAGGAAGTGTTACATGATATAATGACAACTTGTATCATAATGCATAATATGATCATAGAGGATGAACGTGATGTTGATGCGACAATTGAAGAAAGAACAGAAGTCCCAACTACTGAAGTTGAGATGAAGGGTGAAGATGATGCTCGATTTCAAGAATTCTTAGCTCGACATAGAAAAATTAAGGATCGAGAAGCGCATATTGTACTTCGTAATGATTTAATCGAACACTTGTGGTCTGAATATATTAGTTCTGAAAATTAGTATGATGTATTTTATTTCTGGTTATTTATATTTTAGGCATTGTAATTTTGTTTAACGGATTGTAATCTTATATCTTTCTTAATTAATTACTTAATTATTATTATTTACCAAAACTAAATAAATTATTCCAATTAATTTCTTCAGCTTTCAAATTATTGATTAATATTTAATTTTTTATCAATTGAAATTTTATATTTTATTTATTAATTAATCAGTTTTATAAATAATAATTAATTATTAAAACTATTAAAAAATAAACAGCAAACTAAATTTAATATTATAATAATAGAGAATATTCTTTTTGGTATGGAATTTGGTTATGTGGTTAGAGTAAAAAAAAGTGAAGCACCAAACACTAAATTTAGTGTTTTTTTCACACCAAATTTGGTGTGTAGGTTGGAGATGCCCTTAGATCATAACTCTTCTTTATCTATTAAAGAGTTATATTTTATGTAGTTTTAGAAATTAAAATTATACTTTACTGATATTAGTTTTTATTAAATACTTTCGATGAATGTTTTTATATTTTTTATGTTCAGAAAATCAAAACTAATTAAATTTTAGGTTAACCGAAAATGAGCAACTGAATAAATGCAACATACGAATTCGAAGATTTGAGAAATTCTGGTTATTATTTATTTCTTTATTCACATAACATTGTACATGCAGAGCTAAAAAGAATCCAAAATAGTTACATTTATTTATTTTATTAAAAATCACGAGGAAATGCAAGCCCAAAGAAAAACAAGAGAATAAAAAAGATTGAAACAATATGGAATAGTAAAGAATGGAATGGATGAAGCGAACAAGGAAGACGAACATAACGTCATGTATTTTAGGCTTTCTCTTCTGTGTTTCAATGTACATATATTTCGCTAATGTCACGAGTCTCCAGTTTAATATCCTGTATGAACACATCTTTGTTTCTCAATCTTTGATGTGGTAAACCAACTAGTTCATAGAGAAAGCTCGATCGTTGATATGTTTTCAAGAGTGAACAATCTTAAACAGATTCATCTTTGAAATTTGAGGTTTTGAAAAACAAGCAAAGCCTAGAGAACTTACAAGATGATGCTTATCATCATTATGAAGCACTTGTTGTCTCCTGAGCTGATAGTAACTTAACCCTTCTTGTGAGGTCTTTCATTACATCTATGATCATTGATTTCTTCTGGATTCGGTACTTGATACTCAACTCTGCTGTCTCTGAAACACCTTGTTTCAGTATAGCCTCGTCTTCCATTATTTTTGTCGGAAAATGGCTCAATGCAATCACACAAAGAGCTATAACAGTGCGGAAGGTGGCAATCTCGTTGGAAATTCCAAGAGGTGCTGTGGAGGATAAAGATTTGAGCGTGTCTAAGTCATGCTTTTCAACTTCTACCAATTCACCGGAAAGCAATATTCTTATAGCTGCCAATAGTCTTCCCTCTACTATCTCTTGACCTCCGATCGCCACCTATCAAGGAATTAGAGAGAGTTAGTTTTTTCTCCTTTTGTTCTTCTTCCAGGGATTTAAAGACTGCTGTAGCTATCGAGTTAGACAGATAACAGGTTTGAATACCTTGAGGTCTGGCATTTTCCCGGCTAGATTCAATTGGGAAAGCAACTGATGTTGCCATGGAGCTGGTGAAGAGAATTTTGGGGAAGCAACACCAGCGGCCATGCTTGCAGCGTCCAAAAGCCCTTCATCGTATTTAAGCTCAATGGTGTCGTATGGATTTGATTCAACCACAAATCCATAGTCCAACAGGAAAAAATCGTTGCTAAGACAACCATAATTGAGTAGCAACGGATCGTTTTCTTTCACATCAGTCTCCGCAACGACCTGGTTCACAAAATAAAAGAGTGAGATAAATACAAAACACTTGAAAAACAGAGATCTAAGACACAAACCTTAACAAGGGTATTTGAGTCAGAACCGTCCTGTTCTTGAATGATCTTGACATTCGGCGTGAAGCTATGGTTGCACATATCTATCAAAGGAAGCATCATGGGAACATGATCAGAAGACCCACCTCGAACCTTTCTATTACCATGCAAACGAAACGCTCTAGTCGAAACAGCCGACATGGTCCATCCGAGCGCGGATGCATTCACATCTTGACCGCTAAAAGGATGATCACTAGCCTTAACATCTTCAAGAGTCTCTCTAATCTCTCTCTCAAAATCAAGAAGAAAACGGCATCTTTTATTAACCTGCTCCCAAAGAACACAACAAAAAAATCTTCCATCACCTAATTGAAATAGTAGAGACTGAGACTCAGGAATAAGTTCTTATCTAACCTGGTGGAGAAGAGGAGCATACTGCAAGTTCTTGATGTCTTCCCCGGGAAAGAATATGGGAACAGTGTAAGTCTCAGGAAGATTGCTAATGTATGGCCACCAGAAAGAATCAGCATTGGCTCTTTCTTGCAATAGTCTCAATCCTAACTTCATCGCCCACAACTCATCTGCCAAATCAATCATCCAAAAACATGATTCTATGAGCTAAGCTTCAAGATAAATATCACCAAGATATATCTGAGACAATCCACTAAATCACATTTAAACCTCTATGAGGTAAGCTTCAAAATTCAAGATGACTGAATAATCAATTGATTTGTTCTCTAACATCACCACATTGAACAAGAGGGAGGTGTTGACACTTACCGGGAACTCGACGGGATAGAGCGGCGAGGAGAGGAGACGGTGTCGTTTCATCTGATTCGAAGCGTAAGGGAACGTGAGGAGGGAGGGAGATTAGGTCGGTGCCTTGAGGGATTTGCTCGGTGGAGATGAGACCGATACCGAATGGAGTATCCTGAGAGAGATTGACGGCGTGGTGAACGAAGCCGCCTTCTCTCTTGATCCAACGGA